GAATTGCTCAGATGCCAGCCCAGCCGTGTGGTAATGCTGTTGCGCTTATGAACATGACAGTTGTCACCTTTTTGGGTAGTGATCTCCAAGTGCATCACCATGCCGTACCCTTACACAGCCCGAGTAATTTGTAGGTATTGTTATATTCATTTTACAAGTGAGAAGCGTTAAGGAAAAAAAAAGCTCATAAATTTCATGCTGTAAGTAGGCTTGTTTGCAAGGTGGCATGTGGTTTGTGTCAGGCTGCTAGCCGTTCCCTACTCTGGGATTGAGTGCATGACTTGCTGCTTTCCAACTGTCGCTTGTATTCTTGTATTTTTCACTCACAAGCTTCACTGAAAATTGACACTGAGTTGTGCAGAACTTGAAAGGAACAAGAGCTGTTCCTGATCTGACACTCGCTTTAAGTGAGGCACTGCCACCAACTTTAAGGGGTTTTGACTTCAAGGAGCTTGGATCAGGTCCTCTGTGAGGCTTGTGCTTTGCAGCAGGGCCAAAAGTCGATAGGGATGTCTCGGCATGGCAGGTCTTCAAACACAGGACCAGATCAAGGGCACAAATGTCCCTTTTCATTGTGTTCCTTTATGTTGTCAAACCCAGCTCTTGACCTCTGATTTTGCTTTAATTAAAATCATATTTGTGAGTGAAAAATATTAATCACCTTTGCTGTCCTTTCCCAACAGCATTGTCTGGAAGATCTAAGTCATAACTGAGTCAATATTTGCACAGCAAAACTCTTTGTCCTTTTTCTCCCTAGTGGTAAATTCCCAACCATTACTTCCATTAAAGGTCTACATGCAGGACCCCACTCCCCCTTCTGCGCTTCCCATTTATTTCAATTTTTTTCCAGATGATATTCCCAAAAATGCACACGCTCAGATACTCTTTGAAGTCATCTTTTTAGCATGCACTTATCAAACAGGCCCAGCTTCCCACAGGAGCTAGCACTTTAACATTTACGTCTTGTATCTTTAGTCTTATTAACTCACTATGTGGAAAAAGAAAGATAAATGTAGCATCAGACCACGGATTATGCCCGTAATGAAGGATTAGGCATATATTTTCCATGGCAGCCTGCAGAGAGTCATCTGAGTCTCTAGGGACATTTCACATTGTCTTCATAATAGATTCTGTCTTTGTCCAGTTTTCTGACTGTCCACAAATTTTTATTTGGAGAAAGGGTTCACATTATACTATCCCTTAAGCCATGTTGTGAAGAATTCCTGCCTCACTGGATGCCTCAAGCCTCAACTTTTGTGTCCTTTGGTGACGGAGGCTGCTGCCACAAAAGGCTCTCTAGGAGACAGAGACCTTGAGAAAAAAAATCTGGCATCAGCAGCTGTGTTGTGACCTTTTCATCACTGGAGTGCCTGGCTGTTGCTCTGCTTTATTAGTCTAAATGTTTTCCAAAGGGAGAATCTGGAAGGTGGGAGCAACAGCATGAGGATTATTCTTAAATGTTATAGCCTAGGCTATAGGGAGTGATGCAAAGGTGAAGAGGAACACGTGAGAGGTGATTGCTGAAAGTGTAAGTGACCTGTAAGTGAAATTTCAGGGGAAATTTTGTGAAGTTTTGGGAAAAAGAATTGATCTGAAAGGAAGAAAGAAACGTCAAACAAGAAATAGATAGTAAACTTAATCCCCCAAAATAAATTACTTCAAACTAAGCAAGTATTTTTGCCATGATCAATGGTTTTACATTATGCAATGCATAATACATTTTGCAACAAAAGTAATTTTGAAAGATAAAATTAAAAGGCTCCAGTTTTCAATTTTCTCAGTTTTGTTTTTACACAAAAATACAGTTTCTATGGGGCACATCTTGAGAAAGCTGACTTATGGCACCAGTATGCAAGTGGCATATGTTTTTCGGGTGGTTATTCCCCAGTACCTTCCTATCCCTCCTCTTCATGTCTGTCGCAGGCTTGGGGATTCCTTCCAGGCCTTTTTAAAATTAAACTGTTTTTCAGAATCATGGGCTAACAGATGGAGAAGAGTTGTTGTCATCAGCTAGCCAAAGTAAATAGAGCTGCTAAGAGTTTTCAGCAATAACTGTACATAATTATGCAATTCAGACATCTTTCAGTTGAACTTCAGATAATTGCATAAATCTGTGGATGTACCTCAACAGTCTTCCTGTACTCGTGTTGGGTGCTGCAGTTCAGCTTGGTAACTTTGTACGGAGCTTCACCTACACGAAAAAATGTGAGGCTTTGGAGCAAACAGGAGACCCTATTTGCACCCACGGGCACCTGCAGAAGAGCCAGTCTGCCTCCACTCTGCTGGGTCCCTGGGGGGAGCTGCGGGTGCCGGTGCCTCTGGATGCCTGATGGTGCTCTTTTGGTTGAGGTGGGTGATGACACTGACAACAGGAGGCAGCAGGACAGGTCTTCTTGTTCCCAGGATCAAGCAGCTTCAGAGCTCATTTCCTAGGATGTTGTGGGCACAGAGAAAAGATTTCTCTTTGTACTGAACCAGTTTTCACTGACCCAACAATGCTGGGTGTTTCCTCACCATTCTGTGAAAGTCCTGCACAAAAGGGTGTTGGTAAAACCTGACACATTGTCTTTGATGTTTGAAATTCCAAATTTCTGGAGCTGAATGGGGGAGAAATTATCACATGTAGCTGGGAAAGGTGTGAAATAAAAATTCCCCTAAGTTACCTAAAAATTCCAGAGACTTGCTCTGGGTGATGCTTTAGCCTGCCAGTTAATATACGCTTGCTGCCTGCTCAGTGATTTGTCAGGAACAGGGAAGAAGAATCCAGACTTGGCAAGCTGGTGCTGCAGACAAATTTTGTCACATGAAATCCCAGCAGACTTTAGTCCAACATCAACAGCTCCTGAGCTATCACATGGGAATGCACATGGAGATAAAACGAACATCCTAAGGGGTGGATCCTGTGTTTTAAGGGGCAGAGCAGGGAATCTGGTTTATGTAATTTTTTTTCTCTTTTCTTTGTGGAGTTGTTCAGAGAAATGATGGAAAATGCTGGTTCCAAACACAGGTACCGTTATGTCTTTTCTTGAATTCTTTGTTTTATTTAAAGTTTCTTAACTCCTCTTGAATTCTTTTCTTCATTTAAAGTTGCTTAACTCCTCTCTCTTGCTTTTCCATACATGTGAAGAGTGGTTAGTCCTATCTGCCTTTACCTCAGAGGGATTGTGAGGGCAGCGTTTGGAAAAGAATTTGCTGTCTATGCAAAGAATCCACAAGTGACTGCAGGGAAAAAAATACCCAGACCTACCATTGGGAAACTCCAGCACTGGTCGACTACTTTCTGGAAGTGGAGCGTCCTGTTACATAAACATCCTTGAAGCTTTGCAGAAGGGGTGACATTCACATCACATATGTGGGGTCTGACTAATTGGGCTTTGTGTGTGAAGAACAGGGATGGAGAGGATAAGGAAGTGAAATCCCCAAGGTGCAAGCTGGGCTGCCTTCTTCCCATGGCCTGTACTGTTGCTTACGTGTTGAAATGGGGTCTCAGAGCCTCCCGCACCACTGAGCTGATGACTGGGAACTCTGCGGGCCCCACAACCCAGCCTGCATCCTAACTCTGCCCTCCCCAGCGGTGTGGGAGGCCTCCTGCGCAGCCCGCAGCCAGCTGCAGCAGCATCCAGCTGTCACTCCGACAGCATCCCTCTGCCCAGAAGTTGTTAACTTCCCTTTGTACTAAAATCTGCCTTAACTCAGTGGTCCTGGTCTATGTATAAGCAGCATTCAGACCATGTAGCTCTTGGCTGCTTCTGCAAACAGTGGCAGAAGGGGGCTGCTCACTTCAGGAGCTCCAAGTTGCCCCCCCAGAAGAGTCTGCACCTTCCCACTGGTTGTGTGGGGAACTAAAAGCCCAGAGATGCTATTTTGATGGACGAAGTTAGGTGGCACCAGCACTCTTCCATCCAGAAGTCACTTGAGACCCAGGGCCCAGTTCTCCACAGTCCCACACCTTGTGGCAAAGGGGAGATGCAGAATGAGTTGGAAGTCACTGCTTTGTTTTGCACACACTTTGTAAAGCTTTTCACCCATCCCAGGCAAAGAAAATAACCTGTTTCCTCCCCCATGTCTTCAAGGGAAACTGTACAGCAGGCATGTAAATAACTTGACAGCATCTACTGTAAAATTCACACGTATATTTTTCTATATTTTATGACAGACACAAAACAATGGTTTGCAGGTTTTCCATTCTGCAGAGCAGGTCTCAGGGTAACAGGTCAGATTTAGCAATTGGGATGCCAGTGAAAGGAACAGATCCACAAGCTGAAAGAGTCAGTGCTGAACTGGTTAGGAAAGAGTAAAATCTGAATTCCCAGCTCTTTTTCTTTTCACAGCTGTTAAGAGTTCAGTGGGTTGAACAGCAATCCTTCAAGTTCGTCTGTTGACTCCAACACAAAACTATTATAAACTGTGCCTCTAAAACACGTGATGAAACATTTCTTGAGAGCTATTTATTCCAACTGCAGCGGAGGAAACTTTTCAGAACAGCCGGCATTTGGTAGAGGAAAGGTCTCTTGAGCTTTGCAAACGGAGGAATTATTTCAAAGCTGATGTAAGTTGCTTTTTGATTTTTTTTCTTGCACCATTGAATAAAATAATACTTCTAGCTTTTTTCCCCTCAATGGAAACATGGTCACGTAACACAAAACTGTGTTTAAGTGCCTAGAAGGGTATTTCTGTATAGTTTTCTTTCTTTAATCGTGTGGATTGGGGTTTTTTTAATTTAGCATAGAACTTAACATGATTTAATATTACGTATTTTCTTTCCTCTAATGTTTTCTGTATCTGAATAACAGTTCATTCAGTTACAATATTAATGCGGAATTATGATAGACTGCAACCTTCAATTAAGTGTGTCCTGCAAGCTTACAAATTCCAGAGAGCCAGGAATAGTTTGGGGGTATTTTTTTTCAGATGTTTCTTTTACATCTTTGATCTGAAGTTTGAACTTAAGTATACATGCACATTCTCCTCTAGGCTTTAGCTGTGATAAAGCACTTTCCATGCTGAAAATGGACCATGCAAACATGACCCAAGCCATGCTTGATGCTGAATCCCGCACCTCAGAGAAGAACAACAGCAACGAGTATTTTTACATTCTGGTTGTCATGTCTTTCTACGGCATCTTCCTGATAGGGATTATGCTGGGCTACATGAAATCCAAGAGAAAAGAGAGGAAGTCCAATTTGCTTCTGCTCTACAAAGATGAGGAGAGAGAATGGGGAGAAGCTGTGAAGCCTCTGCCAACCATATCGGGGCTGAAATCTGTCCAGATGCCCATGATGCTGAACATGCTGCAGGAGAGCATGGTGCCGTCCTTGTCCTGTGCAATCTGCTCGATGGAAGGTAGCAGCGTGAGCTCTGAATCCTCCTCCCCAGATGTGCATTTCACCATCCAGGAGGAAGTGCTGGATGCTGAACTGGGGGAAGTGTCAGAAACGCTCCTCAATGAGAGCAGTGAGGGATCTGCGGAAAATATCCACAAGAAGTCCTAGCATTTGTAGGGGTCCCTGGATCAGCTGCCAAAGCATGAGTGGAACTCCCTCTGAGAACTTGTGGTTCTGCCTTCCTGCTCTCCAATGAACTCTCAACAGGTATCTGTGCCTCGGGGCCCAAGGTGTTCCTGAGAGCTGGCAGGACAAGGAAGCAGTGGTACCCAATGCAAAAGTGTAACTTGCACGTAATTGTGATGTTTAATTTTAATTTTTCCATTATTATTTCTTACTGTAAGAGCTAAGAACAAGGAGAATATATATGTATTTTTTTTTCTAACAAGTTAGCTATTACTGGCATGTCTCTGCATATTTCAGAATTCTGCAAATATCTGGGAAATGTTTAGAGAAGTTACCCTAATGCAAGTGCCTGGTTGTTAAAGATGATGGGTAATGAACACTCATGCAAAACTGTGATAGCCTAGAAGTACTTTTACTGTATTTTTCTTGTAACAAACCACAGCCAACAGCAGATTTGCTCAATGAGGCCTCAAAAGCTGAAAATTTTTCCATACTGTAGTTGAAGAGAGATTGTAGCATGGCTGGAAACTGACTTTAGGCACAGAAAGAATGAAAGAAAAAAAAAAAAAGGCACCGAATTTCTAGGATGTTTGTAAAGCCCAGTTTCAGATCCATACCACTGTATCTATTTTTGCTTAAGTTGTACCTGTACTGGCTGGGTCAGGTTCACTAACTTCTGCTGCAATGCAGTCTTTGACTGAGTTACTTGTAGGAAAAAAATATGGTTTTTGCTTTTGTGTTTTTTAAAGATATGTACATTTGATCACTAAAGGCAAAGATCTGGAAGTTAAAGAAGACCTTAAAAGATCTTTGTTACACAGTGTAAGACATTGAAAAGCTTGAACGAATGCTGCTCTGTTATGCCCCCTTGAAAAATAGGTGGAATTCAGAATAGAATTTAACCTAGCAAGGGTGAAATCCTGGCCCCACTGAAGTCATCAGCTGAGTCCTCTTGACTTCAGGGGACATGCACAAGATTTTGTGCTTCTCTGCTGGAGTTAAATTCTCCATATGAGGTCAGTACAACTGTACCTATGTACATCATTGAAGAATCTAGACTTTCTGCTCTATTTAAGCCAGTGTAGATAAACATTGCATTAAATCTTTTTTTTATCAGCTTGCATGTGACACATGCATTTCTATAAAGTCATTAGTAACTAGTTTTTGAAACCACCACAAACTTCCCCCACCAATTTAACAGTACTGTGATTTTTTTCAAATGCTCATGAAATTACTTACTGAATTATTGCACTGTTAAAAGAAGTAATGTTAATATTGTAGCGATGTATGATTGTTTCAATCATACCTTATATTTTATAATAACTTATTACAATGTTCTGATTAGTTCTGAAGCATGAGGGCTGAATAGCCTGAACCTAAAGCATTGCACAGCAAAACATTTGCAAAATGTCTCCACTTATTTCCTGCGCTAAAATAGCTCTGTGATTTATCCAGTAGCATTAGAGCTTGAGAGACAGCTTGAAAAATGTGAACGCTGAACAGCAGAAATGAACTGAGGCAAGTCTGCTGTACTTCTGCTGTTCAGAAGGGAGAACGCTGCTTTTGGCTTGGAGGGTTAATACGATGTAGCCTGCAGAGGTATCACTGTCTCTGAACACAGCGGAACAAAGGCTCCTTTGTGCTCGGAAAGGGCCTGATTCAGTTCTGACTGAAGGCAGCGGGAGTTTTTCCATCGACTTCAGTGAACTTTGGATCAGACCATATAAAGCTTTTTGGTAGATTTACTCCAAAAGGGGCTGTTTTAAGTTTGAAAGAAACCAAATTAAGTTTGGCACTTTGCCTGGAATCACTTGAATCCTGAAACTTTCCAAACGAGACTGACATGCACGAGTTGTCACATTTTCCATTGCTTTTTCTTCATCCTTTTACTTTTGGTATAAATGTATTTGTATCTGTAAAAAACTGATGTATATAATTCCTAACATTGAGTTGTATATAATTGTCTCATGTATTTAAAGTTTATTGTTTCTACTGGCACTAATTTTTATTTAAATAAAGAAACACATTTCCTGGAAAAGTTTCCATGTTTGTTCACTACGTCAAATAGATTTTCAGTAACAAGATCGGGCAAAATTTCTACAGGATCCTTTTCTCATCCTCTTTTTGAAAAGATTTCTTGCGTTTAACAGTACTGCAGCATGGTGGGCTGACTGCAGGGCTGAGCCAGGTGCTCCGTATCTGCCTTGGGTCCATGCTGGTTCTCTGGGGCACTGGGCAGCTTGCTCGTGCTCAGCTCTTGTCCATGTGCAGGCAGGGCTGCAGGGTACCCAGAATCCTCTAGCAAAGTGCTGGACGTGCTGGTGAGGCATTGAGGAGGATGCAAAACTGGCAAACTGCTATGAAAAGTGTTTTGTCACTTATTCAGACTCTCAGAAAGTCTGCATTTTGAGTTTTGGTTTTAAATTTGCACTGTAGCAGATTGGGTTTCCAGTACTTGGCCATGGTACATAGCTGGCGTTCTCACAGGCTTTGACCCTGGGTCTCATTATTGCTGCTAGGGATAGGGGATGTTTCTGGATTCTGGCTCCCAATGCAGGTCAGAAGTGTTCAGAGGCAGCTTTGCACTTCCATATCTCCTCCAAGCTGTGACAGTATGTACAGGGTCATAGGCAATGGCTGAGACCTACTCGCATGGGGTAATTTGAGGTTGTTTCAAAAAGTTATATCTACTCGCTTTCCCACAAAACCTGTTCCCCTGTGCTCTGATCTCTTCACTCACCCCTTCTTAAGTAATTATGAGGCCTGTTCTTAAGGTTCTGTGGATCTAAAGCTATTCATCAGCAAGACTGCATTCCCCTCCAGCAATGCAATCTCCCAGGACACTCACAGTGTCCTGGAATAGTGGGTCAGTAACATTGCATCTTCCACATTTACCCATGCCGCTGTCTCGGTGTTTCAGTGTTTCCATTGCCACAATAATGAATCAAGAGACTTCTGACAGCACTGGTGATAAGAAGGAAAAACAGAACAAAATGTAAATTACAGCTCTGCTTTATGGATCAAAAAGCTAGCTTATTCCAGCAGTTTCTTACATTAAATTGAGCTGCTATAAAGGGAAACAGTGTGTGCTTTGGGACCTATTTACACTGAAGTGAGCTAGTGAGCACAAAAATGTGGTCACCTTCTTGCATACTGCAATGGAGTTATCCTTGGCCCATGGGTTCCAGAAAGCTTGTGTGATAACTTGGCATGTATTTGTCTCTGTCCAAATTAGTATTTTGACAGCAGCACCAGGGGAAAAGAAAAAAAAAGTATTTTAACTATAAAAGTTAATTGGATGTGTAACTGAAAGCAATGATGCCTTGAAGACAGCCCAGTGACCCAAGACTACCAGGAAGCTATTATTCCAAAATAAAAGAAGTGTTGTTAATCTTGAGAAGCTACAGATGGAAGGAAGAAAATTGCCACTATTAAGCTTGTTTCAAAATCCTTTTGACTATTAAGAAGTAAAAGGTAATAATATTATTTTTTTCCAAAAATGACAGACATTTTCAGTGTGCTTCAGTAACTGAGTTAAATCAGATTCAGAGCTAACAGCTCTTGGCTTGAAGACAATGATAATTGACTGTAATTTGACTGAATGGAGATTATTTTATTTTTACAAATGCATTCTTTCTTAAAAGAACACAGCAATTAGGCTCCCATTTCTTGGCAGTGCTATATCTCATACATTAGCTGGAATAGTTAATGCCTGTCGCCTTTGATTGAACAGGAAAAGATGGCCCCATGTGGCATGTGTACATGGTCTGGCTCCAGGACCTGCCGTAAATGTAAGTGCCAGCTCTCAGATTACCACATAGGGATCTGTGACAGTAGCTGGCTGATTTACAATCCTAAACCCTACCAGTGGACAGAATACAGACACACTTGTGAGGTTACTCATTCAACAGGATGAACCTGCTGAAGAATTGGAATGGAAATGCAGAACTTGTCTCTTCCCCTGGCACAGGATCTCCCAGGTTCTCCCAGGACTGCCATGCTCTGGACCAGAGAAAGAGTTAACCAGGGAGGGAAGGTTAACTAATACAAGAGAATTCACTTTCCCAGGGCTGCAGCAGGTCACAGATCATGGTAAGTAGGGCCAGGAGCCTCATGTGTTACAACTCATTGCAAAACTTCTCTCCCCAGTTTGGCCCTCTCACAGTGTGTTCCCTGGATTTATCCCTTTCTCAGACATGTGCCCACATCTACCCAAATAAATCAGTTCTCACAGGGTTGGAAAGGAAGGGAACAGATAAACCATAACAGACATTTCTGTTCCCAAGTCCTCAGTGCATGATGTTGGCCAAAGACAGGTGTACTACTTGAGGACAAGGAGCACACAGGTCCCCAACAGAGACTGCACTTTTATCACAGCCATTTCCATCAAGAGAAGATTAAACCACCTGACCTTACTTTTAATCTCAAAATTCCAAGACCCTGCGAAGACAGAAGGAGTCACTGCCACGTGATAGATGAGCATTCTCAGAGAAGCTCAAAGTGCAGTGCTGGGCAGTAGAGTTGGTTGCACCGATCCAATTGTGTCAAAGCTGGACCACAATCTCCTGTGGCTGTCGACCTACCACGCTTGTGTTATCATCTTTTTAGACCTTATTGTTCTAGTGGGAAGATTATTCCTCCCCGAGTTCACAGTTGCATTTTAAATTTAAAATACGATGTTTGGATCTAAGAGGCATAAAAACTAATAAAATTGTTTAGGTTATTGGTTTTCAAGCACTTATCATATTTGCCTCGGTGTATTTGGTTGATTTGCTTTTGTACTCTTTCCATTTTCACACGCCTCTGCAGTTCCTACTGCATACAGCCAAAAATAGCTGCAAGATGAGCTGCTGCCTTAGTATATTGACACTTCTGTATCCACCTCAACTAGGGAAGAAAATGGAAAATAATACAAAATCAATGAGCATCTGAGTTTTTCAAAGCTTAATTTTGTTTTAGCTTGGGTTTGGATAGGTTTCCAG